GCCCTGAGTCCTCCCGGAGAAGGGCGGCATACAAATAATAAAATTCTATTCTATTCTATTTCCACGTTATTATTGTTGTTGTTCATTCATGCAGCTAACCCAAAGGGTTTTGCCCGCCACTCCTTTCTTGCAAGAAATCTTCAGGGTAAGAAGGAATAGTAGAGCTGATGGCCAATTCCTAAGGGGCCATCACTATACAATTTTTAATTACTGTTAATGAAACTTTCATGCGCCTTAGACAAGTTGTTTCATTAGCTGCTCAAGAAACATGTTCAGCTATTACTTAATATGATTATTGCAAATAATATTGCAATAAACAGATTGATTTCTGTTGTGTCGTCAATTTAAAGCAGGGGTGAATACCAGAGAGTCCTCTAAACGTCAGATTGCATTTCCTGTGCCAATTAGAGTGCAACAATATTTGGAAATATTTGGGTTGTCCATTCCTGTTTGAAAGCTATGGTTTATCTTCAAATCCCATTTTCTAAGAGGTGGGAGAGAAACTGACGCAAATGTAAATAGATACAAGTTTCTGTTCCACTCAGTTTCTTTCTCATAGCCATAAAAAGGTCTTAAGCAAAGTTCTAGTATACAAGACAGCATGGGGATATTTAAACATCTTGCTCCCAACAGTTGAAACATGTCCACACAGCATGGCCTTGCTAATTGCTGACTGACTGTGGCCACAAAGGACGGATTGAATTGGACTGACCTCTTCAAATCTTGCTCGGATGATGGTTATCCAGTGCTTGATGGTAGTGATGGAATCTGGATGGCAAATAGCCAGGATGGCCTCTCCCATACCTGTGGCTTTACTTAGCTCAATCTTTTTTTCTTCCAGTTTCTTCATGAATTCCTAAGGCAGAAACAGTGATTTCCGTGAGATGTTGGCACCAATTCAAAGGGAAAAACTCAAGTAATTTCAGGCTTTGCTTGGCAAGGTCGAAGCAGCAAATGCTTAACTGAATCACATGAAATGCTGGCAGAATAGGAGCAGAAGGAAATAGCAGAAAAGAGCCAACATTCTCAAATAAAAGTTCCGAAATAAGAGTTGAACAGTTGCAGATACAAACCAACTGAAGTAAAAAGTCATCTAATAGCGAGGAACATATTTCAGTGTACAAAATGGCCCATTTTCAAATTTCGAGTGGCCTCTTCTCCCCGCCGGAGTTATTTGTTTACGTGACCCGACAAATACGCGCCGACAAAACCGCGCCCGCCATCAACAAACAACATAACGGGATGCGAAAACAACGTTATAAAGTGTTCGGGTTAGGGTTATAACCTTGTTTTCGCGTCCCATTATGTTGTTTGTTGATGGCGGGCGCGGTTTCGTCGGCGCGGTTTCGTCAGGCGCGCATTTGTCGGTGAACCATTTGTTTAGCCTTTCATAAAATAGTTCCTTTGCATTTAATGTTAATGGTTCAAAGAATGTCAGGCTGAATGGTCGGCCCCGCACATTTTCACCTCGCCAAATCTGGCCCTCCTTGTAAAAAATTTAGACACCCCTTGTTTAGGGAGAAAGGAAATCCCTCAATCCTGTCTTGGTGGTTAAAACCTTTGAGCCAAGGGGAAAGAGGGAGCATCTCTATAAGCCAGTTGGGAGATGGGAAAGGAGGCAGATCAAAAAGAATACCTGGAAGAGAAAGAAAGACAGATGGGAGGAGGTTGGAAAGGTGAAACGTGAGAACAGCTGCCTGCTTTTTTTGATGAGCTGGTTTCCAAAAGAAGCAGGGGGGAAAAAAAGCAGGGCTTGAGCTATAATGCTTAAGAAAGCCAAAGAGAATTAGGGAACGACTGCAGCAAGATTAACCAGAGTTGCACTACTGCAATATCTGAAGGACCAACTTAAGGGCAGATCATCATGGAGAAAATCTATGAAGATTTCTAGAAGTTGACCCCAACTTGAAAATCTATGAAGAAATCTAGAAGATGACACCAACTTGATGATAATCAATCACTCAATCAAGTGCTATTTAACAATTCATTGACTAACAATGAAACAGAGGACTACCTACTGGAAGTATTTTACTAAAGGACTCAATGGCCTTTTGTTGGGGATGCTGAGGTAGTAGAATCCTGTAATGGCCAGGGAGTTGGAATGAACCGTGGCACGACAAAACCGCGCTCGACTAAAGCGCGCTCGACGAAACCGCGTCACTGACGTCATCAACAGGACGACAACAGCGAGCGCGGAGAAAGAAGGGCGCTTTAAATAGCGCTTTGAAAGCAAGCCGATTCAAGTTAAGGTAAGGGTTAGGTTTAGGGTTAGGTTTAGCGTTAGGTTAAGGGTTAGGGTTAGGGTTTGGTTTAGGGGGGTTAGGTTTAGGGGTTAATTTTAGGTTTAGCGTTTACAGCGTGCTTTTTTCTCTGCGCTGTTGTCGCACTGTGACAGCTACGCGGTTTTGTCGAGCGCCCTTTAGTCGAACACGGTTTTGTGGTGGAACCGGAATGAACCAATG